AATGAAAACGCCTGGGAGTTGGCACTCACCGGCGGCCTCAGGCCTCAGCGGGCCCGATCCCGAGCCTCCTAAGTCACCGGCGTGCCTCTGACGACACACAAAGTTGACGGCGTAGGGGATGCGGGTGCGGATGCGGGGTCTTCGACGCCGTCGTAATCCTGTTCCAGGACGACACCGACCTGGGCAACCACCTAGGGATCGTCCATAAAGTACGTCCGTCAGTCGCCGTGACGAACCTGCTATGTTCAGCCTCTGCAAGCTCTTATAACGCCTGTTATGTAGGCAACATCTTGCCTGTAGTGCATGCGCGTACGGCGGGGTGGCCTACCCTGAGTCTAGCAGGCGCCAAGCTCTCGTAATTTGCCGAAATGAAGCAGTGGAAAACGGACGTACATTCTGGTCTATTCCCTAGCCAACGTATCGACACCCACCTTCGCCGAGCTCCGCGAGCTAACAAGGAGCTCAACATGGCTGGCAACAAGCAGCGCGTCATGGAGACGGGTTCTTCATCCCGCTGCAGAAGCTCAAGGCTCGACCTTCCCGAGAACGTGCTGCCCGCAGTGCTGGAGGTCAACCTCAAGGACCGAACTGGACGTGCGCGTGCCCACTGCCTGCCGCCATCGTGCTGCGCGAGTCGGGGCACTGCTAGAGGAGCTGCTCCTGCTAGACCGCTGCCGCGCCTGCGGTCGTTTCCGTCGGTAGCCTCTGCACCAGCTCGACACGACGGGCTGGTCGTCGACAATGTGCGCCGCACGCCCGGGGCGTGAGGAGTGGCCATCGCTCCAGCTCCTCGACAGCTGCATCGTGACGTAAGCGCGCATGGGAGGACACGGCGAGGGGCGGGTAGGCGACATAGCCGACGTGGCCATGGCCAATCTGCAGGAGGAGCACGGAGGAGGCCGTCTCCATGGCGGTCAGTGACTCCTGTCGGTCGAGTTGTTCTTGTCTAGCAGCACACTAGCAAAGCGCGCCCAGAGCGTGATCTCCGGGTGAAGGCACCGAGTGCGTCTCCAAGACGCACTACCAACACCCCAGGTGCTGAGCCTGGTGCCGTGCCTTCTCAAGCCGAACGTGAGGAGCAGTTTGTCGTGCTTATCATGGAGCGGGTAGGCGTCGTCACCGACGTCGCCTGGCCAACCTGCAGGAGGGGCACGGCCTGCTCCAGCTCCTCGAGCACCTGCATGGTGACGTGAGCGCGCATGGGAGGTCACCGAGGGAGCGGGTAGGCGTCGTTGCCGACGCCGCCGACCTGCAAGACGGGCTTGACCTGCAGCACGCCGCCAAGCAAGGGCCTGGTGAGGGCCGAGCCCTGTCGTGTAGGCGGAGGTGACCCCTGGAAGATCGGATCGTTTGGGGTGTGACCTCGGCCACGGCCTTGTATGCCTGTACAGTCGCACGCATGCCCACTGACATGCAGGCCCTCTAGCGGCATGCGAGTCCCTGAGATCGCGCACCGTTAGAGAAGGACCTAGTGTGTTTAAAAGTTGTTATTTAGGTCCGTGGGAACACTTCTGTATCAGATGTTGTTGTATAGAAGTCCCACTATATCCAGGTTCGATTGCTCGTCAGAGGTGCAAGATGAATAGGGAAATCAGGAGATCTGCTATTCTTTAGAGTCATAAACTATATTCTTACTTGTTGTATAGGTAATCCAAAAGAAGTTAATCCAATTGTTGATGATTCACAGAGTTACAGGTGGCACAACACACGACTAGACAAGTTGTTAATCCTTAGGTGTTGACTTGATGACTGGCTTGGTGGTGGGTGACTGGCGCTGAGACAGAGGCTGAGGGCTTATTTATAGACTCGGCCGGGCCTTCAATTGGGGGGGCAGATAAGAAGCTTTTGGAAGGGGTCTCGGTGCGCGGCGCGGAGACAGGGCAGCAGCGCGGACACCACGACCACGGGACCGCGCGTGCCAAGGCGTGAGTCATTGATAGTGTACACTCAAGCCTTAACGGCACCCTCTTGTTCACCTCGAGGTGGGTCATTTGGAGAAGAAACGTGCAAGCACGGAAAGTATTCACACAATTGTAATGGGAGAATATGATACTCTAACTCTACCTGACTCTAATGGGACTGAAATAGTAGATGTTAATATTGATAAGGATTTTAATGTAGAAAGCCTCCTGAGCTGTGTCATTTTCCACATGAATATGACTTTCCATTTTCATTGACATCACCTTGCCTCAAAAATAGAGTTTATCAAAAGGAGTGAACGTTTCATTATTACTTTTCAATATCGTTGATAATTTTGATATGAGAACAAATATTTGATTCTATCTATGCCTCTCTCCCAATATTCAGAGCAGTGGGGGAACTTGCGCTAAACATTATTCATCCCTTTTAAGTTTGTGTACCTGCTCTGACATCAAAGCTACTCAGACTGATTGTAGCTGACATATGTCACTTCTAGCTTATTTTGAATCTGCTTGAAAAACTAATGCTTGATTAAAGGGCAGTTTTTGAAAGGAAAATCTTTTTATGAATAGTTAAAACAATGACATTTAATAAAGATTATTACATGTACTACAATCAATCAACAGAATTTATAAAGTCGAAGGATGAAGAAACTAATTTCAGTTAATACAAGAAGCTATTAGACATACTTAAAACCATGCACAAAATGTATACACAAAGTAAAACTATTCGTGTAACCATGGCCGAATTTGTACACTATGACACAAACTAGGAACGCAAAGTAATGTAATACAAAAATTCAGGATAAGACAAGAAGCAAACATTTACCAATAAATACAGCAAACTACAGAATAATTTCAAAATTCTGATGCAAACTTCAACCTTGTATGAAACGGGACAATTTGTTTTCAACAATCACCATTCGTACAGTTCAATAAAATCCTCTGAAAGTGATTTGAATTCTTTGATCAACACAGAACGCCACACTGTGACACAAGGCTCAAAATTAGACAAATCCATATATTGTGTATGGAAACAATACACAAGTGCAAAACAAAATCTTAAAAATGGACTTAAACTAGTGAAGGACAATGCCCTTGCCCTTCTAGGGCCCACAGGAAAATGCATGATAAGATGAACATTTCTCACCAAAATAGATTCAGAAGTCACATGTGCATTCCCAATCCAGAGTCACACATAACACTGTAAACTCCTCACTTCACTCCTAGGTGCAGTGACAAACAACATAATTGAAGTCCCTCTCCCATGTACATTTCCAATCGCAGCAGAACCTGTAGACAAAGTGTCAGGGTAAAAGAAAGCATATGCGGTAAAGATAAAAGGGAAAATGAGGGAGGTTATGAAAACTATTCACATTAATGCTAGCAGCCCTTAAAAATATCTTTGGAAGGAATTCTCAGACAAAGAGACTATAATTTAAAATAAATAAATTAAAAAGTAACTGTGAGGAAGGACTGACATTACAGAAAAGACAACAAACCTTGTCACACCGACAGATATAGATCCAGCTCTTGGGATGGAATATTGATGTGTAATGCTCTGG